AGTGGAGACTTCATCCAGGGGACAGAATTGCACAAGGATAGAGTGGAGAAAGCAGAGGGGCAAAGGATGCTGGGTGACAGGACCACCACTTTTATATTATAAGCTCTTCGGGAGAGCAGTGGAGTAATTTCTCGGGAAGGCTTTTTTTTTAATTATTTAAAAAATTTTTTTAACCCTCTTGGGTTAATATGGAAATCAGATGCATTTGAAGAACACCTTTTTCTTCCTTACAAATATAGTCGATTCCCGTTATTTGTAATAGTTATGTTTTACTACCAACACCGAATTAGCCGATATGGTACCATTGCTCCTAGAAGAGTAAATGGGGCTAGGTACCCGTGAACCACTGGTCACAACACCTTAGTCCCCTAATCAAGACATAGCCTTATTTTATATGTGTTTTGGTTTAAAGATGCTTTAATATATATTTTCTATTCATTAACATTGAATTTATGGCGACTAGCACTGTAACTCATGCCTGAATGAAGCTTATCTAACACATGCAGTTTCTCCATAGGGGAACGTCACAGATTTCTTGCACTAAGGAACATTAGGTAGCCCTTCAGCTCTACCGCTGGGACAGTTTTAAACAGAAAAGTTACCAACACGAAACACAAAAGTGTGAAAAACGTGGCGCTAAATGGACGGTGGAGAGGATACTTGTTTATAGCGTGAGAGCTGAAACAAGCAGGCAGAGCCTTGCTTCCTTAGACCTCAGCAGGGAACATGCACTTTGGGCAACTAAAGTTTTCACCATTTCCGCACTCGTCCATAAATGGGGATAATAATACTTATGAAATAGTGTGAAGATTAAATAAAATGATAGCTGTGAAGAATCTGTAATAAGACTGAGAGAGGCAGAAATGTTTTACATCAACTTTGTATGCAAAACAAATACATAAAATTGGTTAGGTAAACTATCATACAATGATTAGATAATATACATATAACAGAACTTTATGCATATCCTTTGGGAAACTGTCAGAGAAAATTAAAAACAGAAGATAAAATGTTATGAAATCAAATGAAAAGTAATATAGTGCAGATTCAATACATAAAGTCAGGTTTTTTAGCCTTGAATGGGTATGCCAATGTATAAAAACCTATTTTGAACTATTGATTGATACAAATTTCTTCTGTTCTTCAAAAAACCTGTACCATTACTAAGGAAAATCTCCCAATTAATGAAGTTACATACTCATATATACACATACCCAACATTTATATGTAAACATAGGGTAAAAAAATATTTTTGCCCTTTTGCTCTTAACAGATTTGACAGCATGGACTGCAAGGAAAAACTAAAAAAATAAGATTAAAATTCAAATTTGAAATATCTTTCTACCCCTACACATGTTATACTTCTCTCTCAACCTCCAAACTCAGGAAAATGTTTCTGAATCATCTGCCAACTCTCTCAAAAATATCCCAGGTTGTCATGGTGACATTGTTCCCTGCACAGCTTTGCAGTCTGGGGCAGTGGTTTCCTAATTCCTTATGGTTGTGGAATCCTTTTTGTTTTTCCATACTTTGTCTCAATTTTCCAGCCTGATATTACATCTGAGCCCTCTAGAGTAGTGGCAAATTAAAGATTTAATTTGGAACTGGGCAGGTTGATGGGTAGTTAGTAGTCACAGTAGTCAGTGAATCAGTCTGGAAAGCTGATGTGATCCTCCATGGGTATAAGTCCTGTGATGGCCCTTGATGAAAACATTACAGCACCCAGTCCTTGACAGAATTTCTCATTTATTTCTTAACCTAGATGGGCTGATCAAATAAAAAGTCTTGGCGTCCAGGCTTTTGAAATAATGATAGGTCCTGGCTGGGTAGCTCATTTGGTTGGAGCATCATCCCCTACACTAAAAGTTTGCAAGTCCCATCAACAGACAGCCAATGGATGTTTTTCTCTCTCCTTTTCTCTCTAAAATCAATAAACATATCCTCTGGTGAGGATTAAAAAGAAATAATGAGCCCTGGCTGGCATAGCTCAGTGGATTGAGCATGGGCTGCAAACCAAAGGGTTGCCAGTTCGATTTCCAGTCAGGGCACATGTCTGGGTTGCAGGCCAGGTCCCCAGTGGGGGCCATGTGAGAGGCAACCACACATTGATGTTTCTCTTTCTATCTTTCTCCCTCCCTTCCCCTCTCTGAAAATAAATAAAATCTAAAAAAAAAAAAAAAGAAAGAATGATAGGAACCTGGTAGTCAGGATGCAAAATTGGGGTTAGCCCTGCTCTTCCCTCCATCCCCTAATCCCTTTCTTATTCCCAGACTGGGAGCTTTGCAGATTTGTGAGTTCTTGTAGTGTAGACACTTGTGGATGTGATGGACTTTAGCTCAGTTCTGACAAATAATCTTGCTGCCTGCCTTGGTCTGTTTTAGGGCCCCTAGAGTTATCTTGCTGGGAAGGTGTGCAAGAGCAAGGGCAGACCTCAGTAAGATTCCTTGAATGTGAAGGACAAGAGGCTAAGAAATGGGGTAGCACATAAAAGCATGAGACAGCCACATGTGAGAAACAGCAACTCATTTTTTTTGTGGTTGTCTAATACACACTTGGGGAGAGAAACCACATCTTTTGTCAGTCTATGTAATGAATAAATAAATGGTTATTTGGTGGTACCTTTACTAAGTATTTTGACTCTGCCCAATGCCAAAAGTAGACATTAGCTGGCAGCAGTGTGTGTTCTTCATGAAGGCCAATGTCAAAGTGTAAATTATGTATCACTTTATTCTTTTTAATGAATCTTTAGTTCATAAATAGTTACTTAAACCTGGAAAATCTGGGATCCAAGAGATCAAAAAAAGATTTAGGAAAGTCTTGGAGCTACTACAGTATTTTGAAAAATTGAATCGAAATTGAAGGAAAGTCTGCAATGAGGAAGCAAAGGTTTCCCAAAACCTTGCGTTCCTTTGCTTTTGACTCATAATACATGTATGAGTTTAACATAGGTACATTTGTTATTTCATTTTGGTCAGGAGCTCTTATCAGTAGTTGTATGTCAATGACTTTGGTGAAGAAGATAAAACAAATAATTATCACAATATATTTAATTTGATTGAGAGGAAAAATATTTAGAATGTTGGAGTTCATGCATTCTGCAAATACCTCTCATCTTTCATTCACTGCAACAGATACTGGGGGTAGGAATATAAAGGAAGAACAGCTCCCGCCTTTAGGGAGCTTACAGTGTAATGGATAAAAGCTTGTCCTAAATTAGCTGACAGAAACATCATGGCCCTTGAATAGGTGCTATATAGTTGAGATGTGGAATAGAGATGTGGGAGATTGGGGAAGGAACATCTAATCCTTTGTGGTGGTGGAGGGGGGGGAGATGGGGCTGTTAAAGAGGACTTCAGAGAGAAGTTAGTCTTTGAGAGAGCTGATTCCTGAAGGCTGGGGTGGATTTCAAAAGAAACAGATGGCTCGAAGATCTGGAGGTGCAAATTGCAAAGGGTTTGGCTGAATCCCAGAGAAATGAGACTGACAGTTGAGCAGGGACCAGACATGGTGGATCATAAAAAATGATGACAAAGCAATCATGGCCACAGAACCCACTGAAGACTTTTATAACGTAACAGTAACATATGCTTTAGAAATGGATAATTTTAATGGAAATATGAAGGATGAATTGAAAGGGGCTAGGAAGACCAGGGTAGTTTTTATTTTCTTAATTTCTTAAAATTTATTAATTGGGGTGCAACATACACACAGTAAAGTACATGAATCTTAAATGTTTAGCTTGATAAATGTTTTCATATATGTATGCTTATGTAACGACTAGCCAGCTTAAGAACTTCTCCAGCATCCCATAAGTCTCTCCTGTGCTTCCCAGACAATTCCCATTATAGCTTTCAGTCCTCCACCCCCCCATTCCATGCAAAGCCACTATCTTCTATCACCATAGATTTGTTTTCATTGTTCTTGAACTTTATATGAATGGAATCATAGACTATGTAGTCTTATACATAGTTTGTTATGCTCAACATTATGTTGTAATATTTATCCTTATAGATGAATATAGCAGGAGTTGATTCTTTTTCACTGTTGTGTATATCCCATACCATAGCGTGATTTTATACCACATTTAACTAACTCATTTTACTGCTGATTGACACTTGGGTTATGTCAATTCTTTGGACCTTTTGAATAATCATGCTTAGAACATTTTTTATAATGTGTCTTTTGTTAACGGATATACCTACTCATTTTCGGGGGTCTATATTCAGGAGTGAAATTGCTGTTATTATCAGTATTTTTTCCTTTAGTCACTCTGGTACTACATTCTGTTAGGTGGGCATTTGACGATTATGAATAAAGCTGCTATAAATATTCACATATAGGTCTTTATATGGACATATATTTTTATTCCTCTTGAGTAAGTACCTAGGTTTGAGATTGCTGGGCCGTCTAGTAAGTGTATGTTTGTGCAGTAAGAAACTGCTGAACTGGTTCCCAATGCGGCTGTATCATTTTGAATTCCCACTGGCAACCTAAGGAAGTTTCAACCGGAACTCCTGTCCCTATCAACCTTGTGTAGTGCCACTTTGAAAAAATGCAGCCATTATTGTAGTTCTAAGGTGGTATTTCAGTGTAAATATTTTTTACATTGAGACAGAAATGACAGGGTCTTTAAAATGATAGAGCGTGCGTAGGCAAGGAAAGAAGACGCTCGGCTGGCGTCTCTCTCCATTCCTGAATTAAGAGTGTGCACAGGCTGGGCAGCGGTGTGGCGGACCAAGCTGCCGGGAGCGTGTTGTGGCTGTAAGAGCTGTCACAGAATCTAGAAGGCGACGGAGCTAGCGCGCAAGGAGACTTAGTAGAGATGTCTCAGTTCTCCGCAGTGACGAGCGTAGTGGTAGGACCACCTAGTCCTCACCGATTTGCCAAACCCAGGTCCGCCTGCAGTTCAGAATCTAAAGTGACGACTCTTTCCCCCAAGATGCAAGAAGCGGTCTGACCCGGAAGCTTCCCTGCCGACCCGGAAGTAGAGCGGTGGGAGGTGCCGCGGTGGAGCCACCGCCCCCAAGCAGCTGGGCCGCCGCTTCGCCGCCGTTTGGGGACCCCGGAGAGCTTCGGCGCCGGGTTGCCCTGATGGTCCCCGGCAGGCGGCGGCGGCAGAGGCGGCGAGAGGATGACCTCTCCCCGGGAGCGGGGTGCCGACCTGGCCCGTTTCTACACTGTCACAGAGCCTCAGCGACACCCAAGGGGCTACACGGTGTATAAGGTCACCGCCCGGGTGAGTGCTGGTGTCAGGCTTGGGTAGGAGCCAGAACTGGGACGTGAGGGGCTGGGGTGGGGACCCTGGTGTGGGGGTACGTGAGCCCCGGTCAGAGCCGAGGGCGGGACTGGGTGCGGCTGGTGCGGGGACGTGCGTCGGAGGTGGGGGCTTCAGGAAGGCTGGGGTGGGGGGCTTAACGTGGGATGCCCGGGACTCCACGGGAGGTTGTGTTTCCATTCCCGAGTGCTGCAGAGGTTGATGCTTCCATTGATGACTCAGCCTCCATCCCACTGGGACTTTCTCTTCTGAGGTTGAAATTTGCAGAAGTGGTTGCGCTTGCTTCCGAGGGATATGCAGATTAAAGAAATAATTTACGTATTATTTTATTTATGTAATAGATAATACTTCTTCTCTCGACCATTTTATACAGTGTCGATTTTTGCACCGAGGCAGACAGACTCTTGAGAAGGATGTCAGTGGTAGGGCCGCCAGTAGGACCTTTTTCTGTCTGTCTTTTTGCCTTTGAGCTTTTCATGGTTTACAGTAGGAGACATGTGGGAAATTATACTGAGAGTGTCTTGTGTGAGTTGTCTTGAGGGTCCATTTAAAGGCTGTGAGTCTCCTTTGTATCCGGTCCAATTTTAGTACCCACTTTATGTTTCATTGCTCTTGCTCCTTTGAAAGAGTTTGTATATCTCTTGGAAAATAAACGGTAATAAAATGAAGTCTGTATGTATGCAATGTATGTATGTATGAGTATGCATGTATATTAGGCATTTTGTGCACATCACCCCAAGTTAATCCTAATTTTAGTGACGAGGAAACTGAGGTTGAAGAAAGTTTTTTAACTTGCCCAACTTTACATTGCAAGTCAGTAGCACATCTGGGATTTGAGGCCACTTTTGCCTAACTCTAAATTATATAAAAAGTTATGAATTAACTTTATTGTCACCATTCATTGTTGAAAAGGAAAGGTACAGATAGTAGTGATAACACGATATACATTTGGAAGACGTAGTAATGTGTGATAGAGAGCTCAAGAAGTAGGTCTTGAGAAATGCTTGGCATGGTTTGTGGAAATGGCGCACAGCTGAGACAGACGTGAGACGTATGGGATGAGCAAGTTTGTTAAAAGATAATAGACCAGGCCTGGCAGAGGGCTGCACTGAGGACAGAGGGAGATTTGCTACTCCCTGTTTGCAAGTGAGGTCCTTGTACAGGTGTAGTGTAAGAAATATTTTTTAAGATTAAGGGGCCCTTATTACAGCACTTTTGAAACCTTTGTAGTCATTGGGCCCTTCAAAAATCTAGACTTCGTTTCCTAATGTGATCTATGGAATTAAAACGATTTTTAATATATGTAATGTTCCCCTCATAGCACCCTGTTCTTCCCTTATTATAATACTACAGTTACATTGTATCAATCTGTTTATATGTCTGTGTCTCTAGGACATCTAAAACTGGTCTCTGTCATTGGTATTTGTTTAAGGCAGAGCAGGGTACACATGCCTAAGATACATTGTTGAATGTTTTCCTCTCCATTCTAGGCAGCACACCCAATATATGTTTAGTTGCAGGCAGGAGTGCTGTGAGGTATACAGGGCTGAATAAAGTGTGGACCTTTCTTTCAAGGATACTCCTAGTAGAAGAGAGTTTCCTGGATTTGTATGAGATAGAAAGTGTTAAGTGCCATAAAAGACTAGAGAAGAGCTATGGGATTTCAGAAGACAGAGATTGCTTCTGGCTCAAGGGATCAGGGAACGTGTACCAATTAAGACAGGCGGTCAAAGGTGGGAAAATTCCAGACAGGTGGGATAAAAGGAGAGAGCATCCTAGGTGGAAGGATAGGTAGAAGGGATAGAGCCCATAAAGGCTTGAAGGTATAAATGTGCGTGGAACTTGAAGGGCAAACACTGTGAATGATAATTGCTAGTATTCTTACTTTACCAAAGGCAAGGTTAACCCAATTCAGATCTTAAATATCTTTTCTTCAGCGGTGAGCTATTTACTGAACTCACTTTTATGACAACGTAAATCAGAACATAAAGTAGCATGTTGCCTCAGAACTAACCAAGTCCATATAATATGCATGCTACATACTGCTGTGGTTTTCTGAACTTGAAAATTGCTTACACTGCCTTTCTTCTCCTTGCCCTCATTATCGCTTATGTTGCCGATTGTAATTTTAATGTTTGAGGGTCAACATGAAGGTATACTTAAAAAGTATCTGTGCTTAATATTATAAAACAAGTAAAATATTTATTAGTTTTTGAGACTGAAGGAGAAAAACATCTTTCCCCAGAAGAATTAACCCAGTAAATAGTGCCCTCCTGAGAGAACTTCATGAGATAAAAATTAGGGATGTCTTCTCTATGTTCCCTTACTTTCAGCTTTGAGGAATAATCTCTATATTCTTCATCCTTGCGGGGTTCTTTATGTAGGAGTAGAATTAGAATCTTTGGAAATACTGTTGTTAACTTTTATGTAAATTTTAACATAAAAGCTCTTGCATCTTCTTAAATCTCCTTTCTACTTAAAAAAAAAAAACAACACAGTTATCTGGAACCTTGCAGGTTTAGGTAGAAATCTTGTGGCCAGTTACAAGCTTGTTAACAGATTTCCTAGTTAACGTCTATGTTGCTTATTAAATTTTATCTAGAACAGGTACCTCTATTCAGAATTGAAAAACTCTTTCGTATGTTTCTATGAGTCTTCAGGTGAAAGAGACAGAGATATAAAAGAACCAGTAGCAGGTTTGGGTTGTTTCATCATGCTGAGTTTTCAAAATTCTCATGTTGTAATAAAGATTTCCCGACAACATTGAGTGGTAATTCTTGTCTGCATTCTTTCCGTGAGTGTGGAAAGCAGAAGGTATACCTTTATAGAAGACACAGTGTTGCCTTATGGCTTTATTTTGTTTATATTGAGGCATAATTTATACACTATATAAAATTCACCCATTTTAAGTGTACAGTTTGGTGAGTTTGGACACATGTACATAGTCATGTAAACACCACCACAGTGACCACGGCAGAAGTTTCCCTGAGCCCCTTTGCACTCAGTCCCCTCTCTCCAGCCCCTGGCCCTTGGCAACCACGGGTCATCTTTTTGTGTTAGATTAGGTTGTGTTTTCCAGCATTTTATATAATTGGAATTATACAGATTGCATTTGGGGGGCAGCGGTTTGGCTTCTTTAACTCAGCATGATTATTTAAGATTCATCTCTTTCATTGCTGACCAGTATTCCATTGTATGGTTATATTACAGTTAATCCATTCACCTTTTTGGTGGGCATTTGGATTGTTTCCAGTTTTTGGTTATTATGAAGACAGCTATTATAAACATTTGTATGTAAGTGTTTGTATGGACATGTGCTTTCATTTCTCATTAGAATATAGCTTTGTATACTGTAGCTTTTTATTGTCTTGTTTTAAAAATAAATTTTTATTTTTCACTTGCAGTTAACTTACATTATTATATTAGTTTTAGGTGTATAACCCAGTGATTAATCACTTATATAACTTACCAAGTGGTATTCCCTGATAAATCCAGTATCCATCTGGAACCATATGGAGTTGTTACAGTATTATTGACTATATTCCCTATGCTCTGCTCTACGTCCCTATGACTATTCTATAAATACCAATTTGTAGTTCTCAACCCCTTCACCTTTTTCACACATCCCTCCACCCTCCCTCTCACCTGGCAGATGTCTGAATGTTCTCTGTATGAGTTTATTTATATTCTGCTTGTTCGCTTATTTTGTTTTTTAGATTCCACTTACAGGTGACATCATGTGGCATTTGTCTCTGACTCATTTCACTCAGCATCATACCCTCTGGGTCCATCCATGTTGTTGCAGATGACAAGATTTTATTCTTTTTTATGGCTGAGTCATGTTCCATTGTATATATGCATAACTTCTCATCTATTTATGGGCACTTAGGTTACTTCCCGTAGCTTGGCTATTGTAAATAATGCTGCAGTGAACATAGGGATTCATGTGTATTTTCTATTTACTGTTTTGGGTTTCTTCAGATAAATACCCTGAAATGGAATTGGTGGGTCCTCTTTGCCTTTGTTTTAAAGTGTGTTTTGGCTGTATAAGTATTGGTACACTAGCTTTTTTTTTGTTTCTTTGTTTCCATTTTCATGAAATATATTTTTTCAATTCCTTACTTTTAGTCTGTGTGTGTCTTTCAATCTGAATTGAGTGTCTTGTAGAAAGCATATGTAAGGGTCTTGTTTCTTATTCATGCAGCCATCCTGTGTTTTATGATGGAAGCATTTAATTAATTTGTATTTAAAGCAATTGTTGTTAGAAATGCATTTATTACCATTTTATTATTCATATTTTTATCTTTTTTTTTCTTCTTAAAGAAGACCCTTTAACATTTCTTGTAATACTGGTTTGGCAGTGATGAACTCCTTTAGCTTTTTCTTGTTTGGGAAACTCTGTCTTTCAATTCTAAATGATAGCTTTGCTGGGTAGAATAATCTTGGTTTCAGGTCCTTGCTTCTCATCACTTTGAATCTTTTGTGCCAGTCCCTTCTGGCCTGCAAAGTTTCTGTTGAGAAATCAGCTGACAGTCTGTGGGAGCTCCCTTGTAGGTAACTAACTGCTTTTCTCTGCTGCTTTTAACATTCTCTCTTTGTCTTTAACCTTTGACATTTTAATTATGATGTGCCTTGGTGTGGTCCTCTTCAGGGTTCATCTTGTTTGGGACTGACTCTGCACCTCCTGGACTTGTGTTCTTTTCCCTTCTCCCAGTTAGGGAAGTTTTCTGGCATTTTTTGTTTAAAAAGATTCTCAATACTTGCTCTCTCTCTTCTCCTTCTGGTACCTCTATGATGCAAATGTTGTTATGCTTGATGTTGTCCCAGAGGTCACTTAAACTACCTTATTTTTTTAAAATCCTTTTTTCTTTTTGCTGCTATGATTGGGTGTTTTTATTAATGTGTCTTCCAAATTGCTGATTTGATTCTCTGCCTCATCTATTCTGTTGTTGATTCCTTCT